GACGGCGATTGTTGGTTTCAGCTGCTCGACTTGGTCAGGTTGGTCGAGCAGGTCGATTTGGTTGGCGAAGCATCACTGCATGCACCATTGATAGGTGGCGCCAGCATTCTTTAGACCGAAAGGCATGGTTACGTAACAGTACAAACCATACGGGGTGATGAATGAAGTCGCGACCTGGTCGGACTCTTTCATCATGATCTGGTGGTAGCCTTAGTAGACATCCAGGAAGGAGAGGATTTCACACCCTGAGGTGGAGTCAACTATCTGATCTATGCGTGGTAAAGGGAAGTGATCCTTTGGGCATGCCTTGTTGAGGCCAGTATAGTCAACACACATTCTCCACTTCCCATTCTTCTTTTTCACAAGAACACGATTAGCTAGATAGTCGGAGTGGTATACCTCTTTGATGAATCTAGCTACTAGAAGCTTGGCGATCTCCTCGCCTATGGCCCTGCACCTTTCATCGTCAAAGCGATGCAGGCATTGCTTGGCGGGCTCTGAGCCCGGAACGACGCATAGTGCATGCTCGACGACCTTCCTCGGTATGCCTGGCATGTCAAAAGGCTTCCACGCGAAGACATCACGATTTGCGCGTAGGAAGTCAGCGAGCTCGCTTTCCTATTTGGCTAGGAGCTTGGTCCCAATCTGCACCGTCTTGGTCAGCTCTGTGGGGTCGATCTCCACCGCCTTGGTTTCCTTAGTCGGATGGAAGGCACTCGAGAAGGTCGGCCTATTGCAGTTCGGGACTGCTGGAGTCGCCGAATTCCTAAGCTCCAGGAGCTAGGCGGAGTTGATGACGGTAGTGGTGAGCTCGTAATGTTCGTGATCGCACGTGTAGGCATGCGAGAAGGTACTTCCTACGGTGATGATGTTGTTCGGCCCTGGCATCTTTAGCTTGAGTTAGGTGTAGTTGGAGATCGCCATGAACTTGGCGTAGCATGGCCGTCCCAAGATGGCGTGGTAGGACCCCGAAAAGTCCACTACCTCGAAGGCTAGGACCTCTGAGCGGAAGTTGGCACGATCACCAAACGTGATGGGCAGGTCGATCTGTCCTAGTAGATATGCCTATGCCCCTAGGAACATGTCGTTGAAGAGAGAGCTCACTGAGTGGAGCTCCGACTGGGGGATGGCATGGTGTCGAGGGTGTCGACGTAGAGAATGTTGAGGCCGCTGCCTCTGTCCATCAGCACCTTGGTGAGGCGCTTCTTGCAGATGATGGGGTCAACGACGAGCAGGTAGCGACCCAGTTGGGTGACGTGGGAAGGATAGTCTCTTAGATCAAAAGTGATCGAGAAGTCCGACCAGCTAAGGAAAGAGGGGATGGCCGACTCGGCGGCGCATGCCTCTCTATAGTGTACCTTGTGCTGGTGCTAGGAGTGGATAGCGTCAAATCCCCCAAAGATCATGAGGCATTCATCGGGGTCATGGAAGCTATCTTCATCCTTGCCCGCCATGCCTCCTTTCGTGCCTCCTCCTCCTTGCCTTTCCCTTCCTTTGGCTTGGCGGCTTGCCGTAGGAAGCAGTTGAGGAGCTTGTAGTTCTTGTAGAGGTGTTTGACGGGATAGGCATGGTTGGTGCATGGACTCTCCATAAGCTTGTCGAAGTGGTCGGGCTGGCCCTGCTGGGGTTGCTTGCCCACTCGATCGGCCGCTGCGACCAAAGCTGGGTTGGCCGGTTGGCGCCGATCCTTCTTGTTCTTCATGCCCTTTTGTGTGGAGGGGCACTCGTCTTGGTCCTCGCACTTGGCCTTGACCCTATCCCGACCGCCTCCTTCACCGGAGGCGTGGTTCATGGCAATGTCGAGCAGGTCGTGGGTGGTACGGAGCTTCACATAGCCGACCTTGTGGATCAAGGACTCGCAGGTTGTCCCACAGAGGAACGCGCTAATGACGTCCTCATCGACGATATCAGGAAGGGAGTTGCACTGCTTTGAGAACCTGTGGATGTAATCCTATAGGGACTCGTTGGGCTCCTACTGGCAGCTCTTGAGGTCCTAGGAATTCCCAGGATGGACATATGTCCCTTGGAAATTTCCAACGAAGACCCTCTTGATATCCGCCCAGTCGCGGATGCTGTCGGGCGGAAGGAATTTGAGCCATACTCGAACATGCTCCCCCACACAGATGGGGAGGTACTAGATGATGAAGTAGTCATCATCTACTCCTCTGGCTCGGTAGGCGAGCTGGAAGTCTTCGAGCCATATACCAGGGTTCGTCCCCTCGGTGTACCTAGCGATGTTGGTGGGCGGTCGGAAGCGCTGTGAAAACGGCGCTTTCTGGATGCGACGACCAAAGGACCATGGCCCTGGGCCATCCGAGCTGGGGCTCTGGTCGTTTGGTCGGCCACCATGCCTAGGGTGCGTGTTCTCGCACTCCTCGATGGTTAGGCCGGGGCCCGTGCCACCTGCTCTCGCCGCCATTCGAGGGGCGTTATCATCGTGTCGGGCGTGGCGTCGATTGTTGATGACACTGCAAGCGTCATGATTCGGCTCGAGCTGTTCACGCACAGGTGGTCAGTGTGGAGCGGGCACCGGGTTGGGCTACAGTGCAGCCACGGCTTCCTGCTCCACGCCCGGTAACTGCTGCGGTGAGTGGATGGAGCGATTTGACTGGTGCGGCCCCAGTCCTTCGGTTGGGCAAGAGGCCGTGAGCTGGTGTCACAATACGGAGCTCTACGCCTGCTGAATGGCGACGGTCTCCACCAGCGCCCGGAGGTTCTGGTGGATTGCCTGTTCCTAGGGGTCGGCAGGCTCGGTGAGGCCACACAGAAGCATCGCCGTAGCAGCGATGTTCTGGCCAGCCCAAGCAAACTGAGGGGGTCATCCCCTCCGTCCAGTATGTTATGCTGGACCTGACGGGCATGATCCCGAGCGCCGCTCGCTAGGTTACGCGCATGTGGCACAGCGTGATGCGCCGGGCGCTCTGACGTAGGCGGTGGCTGGCTCTGTCGCCTATGCCGTAACTCCTCGCCGTGCTGCTGTGCATGTGCTAGGGCCTGCACACAGGGGTCTGAAGGGGTGTGAGTCTATAGAGACTCCACTACCTTCGGTGGCTGTCCCAGGGTGTCCGCTATAGCGCACTCCTAGGACAGAGGGTGACTAGGTGCCATGACATCGCAGACGCTGGAGCCATCGCTTTCGACCTCGTCATCGACGAGGTCATGGAAGGAGGCAGGAGCGTAGCCCACCATCCACACAAACTCAGACGTGAGAGGGGCGGCGTCAGCATCCTTTAGAGTCCCCGCGCGCACGCGTCCTCGGGTGATGCGAAGCCGTAGGGGAACTGGTTGCACAGCGGTCGCGGTGGGGACAACAGGGTCCCTTCGGAGAGTCGGAGGAAGATGTTAAATAGTGAGTAAAGAACAATATGTACATCACTCACCGTGGGGTTTGAGCCTAGCATGGGCTCGAGGCGAAGCGCGGGTGTCTCGACGTTAAGGTCATCGAGTGGCCCGTTGTAGTCGGTGGAGGGCGCTCCTCCAGTCGGCGCCGGGACAAGCGCCTCTTCGCGGATGCAAAGTACGCCGAGCTGGTATTGCGACAAAGTCCAGACTCCCAAAGAGGAAGGTCTGGAGTGGCACGAAGACGGGAGGAGCCCACATCCCAACAAGTGAGAGCATGGGAAACTCCAGCGAACCGAAGCGAATCGTATCGCTCGAGCCCGCCATGCCAAAGATGGTGGAAAGGTGGGCCATCCGATGACCAGAGAGCATGAACGCACGGCGTCCTCCCCATGAACGGTGCCAACTGTCGGTGCAAAAAATGACCAACAAGTAAATATTTGTAGTTTTGACGTACGTTGTGATCGGATGTGGCCTAGTACTCAATGACACAGGATTTATACTGGTTCAGGCAATAGGCCCTACGTCTAGTTGAGGTCGGTCGGTGACTTTATTCCTAAGCCTAGGTGTTCGAAGTTTGCTGTGGGGTTACAAACGAGTAAGGAATAAGAAGGAGGGTGTTAGATGCCCGGTCGGACACTGAACCGAGTGGAAGAGAGTGACGGATGCTCAAACGTGCGCTAAGTATTGGAACGTATGCTCTGGGTGTCCGAGCTTATCAGCTGTTGAGAGCGTGTAGACTGTGTAGCTGTCGAGTCCTAGAGCTATTGAGCTGTCGAGTCGACCACTCTTCGGGGGGCTTTTAGAAGAGAGCTCATCCCCTTTTATAGAAAAAGAGATAGAGTGTACACGTGTGCTACCTAGTCTTGTTGCCCGGCGTCCACAATAATGTTTATGTTCAGACACATCTGGCAGGCTCTACCATGTTCGCCTGATACGGCAAACGACGGCGTCCACAATACTGTTTATACTCTGACGCGTCTGGCAGGCTCCACCGTGTTCGTCTGACATGCCCCGATGGCACCGTCCTGTAGGTGCGCAGGGCATGGCAGGGTACAGTCCTCGGTATTGCGGTTGACTTGAGCGCCTTACCTTATCTGCTCCGCCTGCTCCCCGGGCCCACACCGAGCGGGCGTCCCCGGTCAGTCGTTCCCAGTCGGTCCCGACCGTATCGGTCGAAAAAGAGCAACGAGCAGAGGTCCGGCGTATCCTCGGTCGGAGAAGGGGGTCGGAGTCGAACTACGGTCCCACCTTGGCCAGGCCTTCCGGTCGGGGACCGGATCGTTGTCTCGGCCTGTCTAATGTATCTGGGCCGGCCCAGTCGCGTGCTGTCGCTGCGCCACCTACTGGGCCTAGTTTTGCATGGAAGTGGGTCCATTGGGGACCCCCGGTTTATGAACCAGACAGCTATCTTGACACAAATTGCATCTATTAGAGAGGTTGTGCTGGGTGCACCCCTGAAGCTCCTGCTGAAACATTTAGCCTCAAAGACAGTTGCGCCTAATGTTGACAAGCTTGTTGCTCTTGTTCACCGGCCTAATGAATCCTTTTTCCTTGCTCCCCAGGTATAACTCTAGGAACAACAATATCACATTATCACTTAAGTGTGCTGTACTAATTTTATCGTGTGCAACAAATGGGATTCACTGTTGTTTTTTCAGGCAGATAAAGTTACTATCGTGTACCCAATGAGATTCCAGGACTCCAATGATATTGTTTTAACAACTTCCTTCCTGCAGGTATTTTGGATGCTTCCTTTTGTTTCTTTCATCAGCTTCCTGGCCTAGTGTTCTTCATGGTCTTTTGCTTTTTATGGTTATCGTATCAACTACATTTGACACTAAAGTTAACCTATCATAATGCTACAGTTCATACTGCAATGTATATATATGCAGCAACCCATCAATTAAGGAGTTTTCCAAGCCCAAATAGAACTCTTACTTTCTGTTGGGCACTTCTGTAGTTCTGTATCTGTTGGTTGTAGCTCCAAAAGACCAGTCCTACTCAGCCTTGGGCAGGACTCAATTGATGGGAGCATTGCTTACTCTTTTTCTTCTTCTTGTTTAAATTTAGGAATTTGTGGAGGCAAGACGAACGGCTGCACTTAATAATGTTCCTTCTTGTATGTGGTCTCCGGCACCACCTCTTGAGTTAAAAGGAGTATCTGCTGATGCACTGAATGCAAATGCTGGCTTTGTTACTTTCGGTAATTTACACTTTTCCTAGTATACCTTGTTCCTCCATGAAACTATTTTGCCTCACAGACTTTTGATTTGTGCAGTTGTTTACCCTCGGCATGTTGAGGGTAAAAAGCTAGATAGAACAGTTTGGAATTTGTTGACATTTCATGCTTATGTAAGCTATCATGTAAAGGTAAGACCCTTTAATCTGGTGTCATTTGGTTATATAGAATTACTGAGTTACTACCAAGAGCTTCCCTTGAATATCTGGGAATTTGCTAGTCATGGTGAATCAGAATATTTCATATGAATGACTGGATTTGACTGACTGGAACTGAAAATTGATTTGTTTGCTTCAAATGACATTATTGTGGCCTGTTCCCAAGTAATATGTGACACTCTTCTTTCCATGCCTTGAATTTACCCAAAAAAACACACAACACTGTCTCTTGATAATGACTGTGCCATATATGAAAATACAAATTTTCAAAATAAGTCCTGGGATTTGAGCAGATAATCTGGTAAAAAGTTATTTCAGATGGGGGCAGACAAAGGAAATTTTGGGGGGTAGTGTATTTTCACAGCGTACGCTTCAGCTTCTGAGTCAGAACAATAGAACCAAAGGGCTCTTTTTTTATCCCGTATTACCAGCGGGCTTGAGTGGTGATACAACCAACTTCTGGATCAATCTGTAATTGCAGATGGCTATCTTGGGAGAAATTGGGAATAGTTTCCTTAACCATACCTAGCAGTCTCAATGTTTGAACAGCACTCTATTTGGGAACATTTTATATTTGTGTTGCTTGTGCATTGTGTTGGTTCTTGGCTGCTTACCAGTAAGCATTCAATACTGTGCATCTCGACTACCATTGGCATATTAAGTGTTTCTATGTGCAAACCCAAGTCCCAACATACACAACCCCATATATGTATCAAGCAGTCAATCTTTGTTCTAACAACTCCATCTTGCACTACTACCGAGATGCAGAGGAGCATACATTATCATGTCAAACTATACTTATATTATTAATATAAACAAACCCATACCTTCGTTGTTGTTGTTGTTCTCTCTTTTGATTTTATTTTCTTTCGGAAGCAATTTCTGCTCACAGTAACTAATAGTCTTCTATGAACTTTTGTTATTAGATTTACACTAAACTGTTACTTATAGTTTTGCAAGTTCTCAATTCTTATGGTTTCCTGTATCAGTGTTCTGAAGGATTCATGCATACCAGGATGAGACGCTGGGTTGAGTCACTGATCCAGGTAGACTTAAAACATTTTTTTGTTGGATCAGGTCATTCTAGAGATCTTGTACTTCCTATGTTCGTAAATATAAGTGCATCTAAGCTTGTTTTTTAGCTTTGACCATCAATATCGAAATTCTATAAAGAGTGATAACACTACGAAGCCATTTCATGGGTTTCTCTAACAAGTTAGGGCCGCTAGGTTTCCTCGGCAGGCAGATATAGGAACCCCCTTTCCTATGGCACATGTCCATCACGGCTATACACATAGGAACAGAGGCAGTCCGATACCCAACGTGGCAAGCCCCTTTTGCGCCATAAAGGTAACCTCTAACAAGCTAGAAAATGTCATATTACTGAGCTAAAGTCAGAGCCATATGACTCTCACGGTTTCACTGTCAGTCCCAGCTTTTGCCGACAGATAAGTCCTTATGGAGGGCCGAGAGCATCACGATCGAAAGCCATTCGCTCCTTCGCCCTATAATTTAGTTGTTTAAAAGCCAATTTTACCTTTTCGTTTCATAGAACCGTTATTCATTATGTAAATCAAGTATAGTTACATTGAGCGCTAGCAAACTACCAATATGCATATAACCCATAGGAGACAAGGAACAGGATAATCAATCACCGGATATCCTTACGGGTATCAAAATTAGACACATGCAAATGAGTAATTAATAAATGGTGAATAGGCATCAAGGTAGATCCCATACTATACTTGCCTTGGTTAGCAAACTCCTGCTGGTCCTGCTGGTCGTCAAAGAACTCTTGGTCTCCAACATTCTCCTCACCGTCTGAACACGACCAACACGACAACATACAACATTCCAGGAACATTCATGCAAAGCAAACAATCCTATGGTTAGAACAGTACACCAACAGTATAGAAAACAAGATAAAATGTTTATGAAAAGAATCTACGTCTCGCTACGATCACGTCAACGCGAAGTTCACAAAAAACAGAGCTAAAACGCGAAAGTTATGAATTAAACGGGGTTTCCTATAGCAATTTATTCAATTAAACCTAACCGTGAAATTTAAAAGTTATAAACATGGTTAACAGTGGTACTAACACGTAGATTATGAAATTACGAAACTAACGCAATTTGAACGGGTCGATTCGGAGCTAAAACGAAGTTTTTATGAGCAAAACAAATCCAGTGGCATTTCTGTAATTAGTATGAACTATTTTCGGATTTAAAATAAATAAAAAGGATATTCAGATTTAATCAACTGAGGGACGGCGGGCATAATTTGCTAAAAACCGAGGGGCTCTTTAGCAATTTTGCCACGACGAAGGGGTATCGGCCTCTCTAGACCGTTGATCGTGCGGTGGACGGCAGAGAAAAGAGATGGGGGAGAGAGAAAGGAGGTCAGCGGCCGAGAACAGTGCTTCCAGCGGCGGGGCACCATGGCCGGCGGCAAGGAGGTCATCGGCGCGCCCGGGTTGGGGCCTACGGGCCACGGTTAGAAGAACCGAGGACACCGGGGAAGAGAGGGGGTGGAGGGGAACCCGCCTAGGCCGAGATTGGGGCCAGAGGTCATGGCCGAGGCGGTGGTCGCCATGGCCGGCGGCGAAAAGGTTGACGGCGCTCGCGGATTGGACGCTAGAGGCCATGAAACGCAAAATAAATGGCATGGGGAGAAAGAGCGGAGCAAGGGGGTTCTCACCGCGGGGGAAAACGGAGGCGGAGGTGGCTCGGGGACGGCTATCCGTGCGGAGGGGCGGACGACAGACCTCGGTGACCTCGGAGCAGCGGTTGCGGCCTTCTCGTGCACAGGTGAACACGAGAGTGGAGCGGGGAAGCAGCAGGGGTGCGGCGGAGGGTCTCGGCTCCCTTTTGTAGAGGCCGGGGCGCGGGGGGGGGAGGACGCTCCCACGTCCGAAGTGGGCGCGGCAGCGGTTGCGCCTTGACTGGCGCGGGACGCGCGGGAGGAGGAGGAAGGCACTGACGTGCGGGCCCAGGCGGTCAGCGGCTGAAGAAGGAGGAAGGGAGCAGCGGCGGTTGGGCGTGCGGTTCCGCCCGAGCTGGGCCAAGGGAGCGGCGGCGGTTGCTGGGCTGGCTCCTTGCTGGGCCACGCGAGGCTGGGCTGGCGGCTGGCGCGGAGGAAGAATGGCCAGCGGGCCGGTGGGGAAGGAAACGGGCCAACAGGCCAAAATGAAGAAGGGAGGAAAAAAAGAAAACCTTTTTCTTTTTATTTTCTAGAGTTTTAGCAAACCATTTTCAAGTTGAATTTGAATTCAATTCAAATTTTAGTCAAAACTAATCATTACAAAAACAAATGTGCAGCACCATTCATGAAGTTGCTTCACCACGGTGCAAAATCTCTGATGACGCCACATGCCACCTATTGGTATATTTTAACGTACACAAATAAATCCGTAAGCACACGGATACCGCTGTAGCTTTCACCCGGAGGTATTCCAAGTATCGTATCCATAGGGAAACGTATGAGACCAACTACGGTCTAACTTAACTAGGGGTAGCAACAAGGTTAGGATGAATAGGAACGTAGAGAGGATAACTAAGGTTCTCTAATTCTGACTTGGGTAAGCTTATGTCTTCTACTATTCAACTGGGGACATTACTAGGGAAAGACACTAGCAGAGGATGCTTTCCTTCGCAACTGCGTCCTACGTGCACCTATAGACGGGAGGTGGACTACAAAGGATCAACAAAGCTATATAGTACAAGCTATATAGAACTTATGTCACACATGTGATCTACCACCTTCTGGAATGCAAGGGGCATCCACAATTAACCTAAGTCTAAGCACCACGCTTACACTTATGATTAATACTTTAACCTAGAGCGTCTATAGATTAAAACACTTAAAAGAGAGTCGTGATCCTAATGAACAATATAAATAATTACTTACTTGAATCAAAAGTTGATTACCAAAGAAATCTCGAAAGCAAGCTCAAGTAGAACTTGGATCCGCCAAGGTACAAGTCATAGAGAGAGCACCGACAAGTCGGCACCTCCTCCAAACTCTTTCCTCACTCTCTATCTCACTATTCTATTTATAAGACTAGATCCTATGGATGACTAATCTTCTGTTGATTGTTGGCTCTGATCCTGATGATATGAATTAGGGTTTTAGGGATCTGCTGAGGGAGGGGGGCAGGGGCTGATATATATAGGCCAGAGCGTCCATCGTGAGCCCTTGGATCAAACCGACTTAAAGAATGGCGTAGATGCAACCTAGAAGGCGGTGGAGAACCAACATAACAAGGCGGAGGCTGACGGGTGGCCCCAGGGGCCGGGCGGCCTGCAGGTGGGGCCGATCGGCCCCACATGGTAGCCCCTCGGCTCCTGCTTCGGTGTTGTGTCCTCTGGAACCTTCTGGTGCCCGTTTCGCGGCGGATAAGCAAGATTAATTCTGACATGTAGGTCCGTCTTGATGGTTTTCTAGATAAACCCTGCAGAAAATACAGATTCATCAAAACTCGTGAAATTTGTTAGTTTAAACCCCTAGACCTTTGTTGGTAATCACAATTGTGCCCTTATACATGTTTTATTGACGATTTATAATGGTTATTAACTACCATCAACACCACCTGAGATCCTCACCCCATGTTTTGAGGTCCAAACCGGCAAACCTGCTGCTCTAGATTTTGAGGCCGAAACCTCTAAACCCACTTGGAGTCACCTAGCTGCTACACCTTCTCCACAATGTCAATGCGTGTCCCACTCTTCCTTGATCGACTGATTCACCAGGTGCTTTCTCACCCACCTTGACTTGGTTTAATCCCTGTCTTGACTTTGGTCAACACCGTGTTCGCCATCATTCTCGCATGTACACTCTCGCTTGTCGATGTGTCCAAGTGCTAGCCATCCATGGTCCATCCTTCGGCCCTCGGTCCCACGATCCAAGATAGAAGATAGGGAGCAAGGGAGTGGCGTCCGTGCATGTGGTTTGGGTAGGAGAGGTTAGTAGGCCGACTGTGGGCTTGACGCCACCTCTATTAATTGATTTTCTGAGGCAGTAGATTTGTCTGTTTTCCTAAATCGGTTGTCCGCCTCTAAAAATAGTGAAGTATTTTTTGGCGACACAAAGGTTTTTTCGACCGCCTCTGTTAATAAAATTGGTTGTCTCCTAAAATTATTTTTGTAGTAGAATAAGTTTAAATGAAAAATTTATAAATTACAAAGTTGTAGATGTCTTGTTGCTCAACAACTTTGACATAAAAATTTTCTTCATCTGATTAATTTGGAAAATTTATGATGTTTTTGTGTTGCATATATTTTTAGAGGTGGGCTACATGGCCAACCAAGAAATCAATTTCTAGAGACAATTGGAAACACCAACTGCCTTTACAAAATGGGCATTTTTTAGAGTTGCTTGATAATACCTCTAGAAGTGGGTATTTTTTTAGGCAAATAATATTACCACTACCACATACAAGATTTTCAGAGACAGTCGAAACAGGTTTCCGGAGGCGGGCGGGGAGTTCGTCTCTGGGTTATTTTCACTGAAAATTGGTATTTTTGGAGGTAGTCAAATGGCTACCTCCAGAAATAGATTAAAAAACAAAAAACAAAAGCCTATGGTCGAGCTTGCTACCAGGACCGCCGACCTTGGATCCACCCATTGCGCCGTGGATCCGTCCACTGTCGCAGTGGATCCGCACGCCACCACCGTGAAGTATCAAGCAGTGCAGTCGACCCTAAGCAACGCAGAAACCCTAAGTGCTTGTCTCGATGCTGGTGAAGTGCCTCAGGGAGCGCACAAAGAGAGAGAGAGAGATAGAGGAATGAGAACGTAAAACCCTAAGTGCCGCTTTTATACGTGAGAGCATGAGCCATTTTCAAAGGTGGATCCCTTAAAATGCCCGCCTAAATTAATGGATTTTTTAGGCAGCCTTTTATTTGGTGTCTCCTAAAATGATTTGTTTGCCTCTACAAATTGTTGCATATTTTAGGAGACACGTAAATTTTGTTTTCGTATCTGTTAATCCAGAGGGCCTATCTCCCAAAATGTTTTTAGTAGAAGTGTATTAACAATCGCCTCTAA